TTTTTTCCATCCAAAGCAAGACAAACGAACAATTGTTTTAAGATGATACCAATAACTATACATGCACAAAAATTAACGAAAGCCTGATTGGACCGCGTCGTGACACATAATTATATAAAGCATTCAAGTTGAATTTCCAGATCGATTAGAGGGAAATTAACCTGCAGTTACAGAACGATGAAAGGGTGACTGTAAAATTCATATCTAGATCTAGATTCGTTTAAGTTAAAGCTCATTCATCATTCCATTTTTACAGTCCAGCTTTTAAAAGTTTGTTTCCGAGATTTATTTTTCCTAAAACGTGCCATTTTGCAAAGGGCTGAACTCTGAGGGAAAAATATCACTGAATAATTATACGTATTTATCTGATCACACACAGGTTCAAAACAAACGGTTATTATTTGCTGTCATGTTATAGAGTTATCAGACGGTAAATATTACGATAAAATGTAGGCCTACCTTAGAACTTAAGCCTATTGAATTATCCAAACATATTCCGAACCCTACCCTTTAATACATGTAATCCCGTTCTAATTGATAAGCATTGCTGTGGGCTTGGTGGAGTTATGCCTTTTAACCCCACGGCAGTTCCCATATCGTCGGTCGCCTGATGAAATCGTGAATTCCACACGAAGTAAATTTTACAGGAGAGGGGAAAAAACTGATTTTCTCCCTCATTTGGCGTTAAAGACTTAAACTAAATGGATAAATCTAGTCTATTACCTTTAAGATATAATACTGTAGTATATTTTTTACCGTAGACGGTCATTTTTTTCCGAAAAAGTGTGGGATTCACGACTTTCATTTCGAATCTCGCCTGATGCGGTCGTGATTCCACACGATTTCATCAGTATGCTTTATGAAACGCGGTGTTGTATTCACGGTTATTCAGCAGTGTGCTTTCTCTTGTTAGGGGCCCTGGTATGTTAAAAAAAACAACTATGCGAAAGCACGCAATACTGTTGTACAAAAAATTTTAAAAGACCAAATTAAAACGGAGTATGAAATTACAGACTAAGTGAAACAGAACGCTATTCATTATTTTACCTCTATAAACATCTATCTTTCTTTCATGAATAAACAGGTTCCACCGACTTCCCAACTGTACAGGTTCAAGAAAGAGTCTCATAACTAACTATTAATAAATCGGAGATGGGCCCCTATAGGAACAAAACCTTTGAGCAAGTACAAACGTCAGAATTAACCTTTGAAGGTTTGGTCGACAAGCAAGTCCTCCAAATCTTTCTCCTGGTTTTCTTCGTCGCTGCTCTAGGATCCATCAGCTTCTTTGGCGTCATCTTCAATGCCATCAACATGATCGTATTCATCAAACAAGGGTTCAAAGACACCGTGAACATAACCCTCTTTAGCCTGGCCATCTCCGATATGGGGGCACTGGTTCCCCTTGTGTGGGAGAGCATCTGCTTTAACCCTTTGTTCGCCGGTGCCGATCTGCCCTTCGACTCCCAAGACATCGTCTATCTGACAGCTGGGTGGCCTCACTCGTGCTTCTCACGTATAACGGGATGGATCACAGCCTTCGTCACGTTTGAGAGATGTCTGTGTATTGCTCTGCCCCTCAAAGTGAAAACGATCATAACGCCCAGAAGGACGATCTTCATACTCGCTGCCATATACTCAGTCATGATAGCCAGTGTGCTGCCTGTCTTCTATTCTATCCGTCTAGAGCCCAAAAGTTTTCCGCGAAGAAATGAAACAATGTTGGGATTAGTTTACGTACCGAAAGGTACCTTTATCGAGAACATTTCTATTTCCATCAACGCATTCGCACAGTTTGCATCTTTTTTCACTGTCATCGTGTGCACCGCAATTCTTGTTCAGAATCTCGTACAGAAGTCAAAATGGCGAAAGTCTGTTTCAACTTCAAGCGCGGGAGCGCAGAAATCTTTTTCTAACAGAGATAAGAAAGTGATGAAAATGGTTCTCTTTATCGCCAGTATATTCATAGCTTGTTTCTTGCCCAGCGCTGTCAATTTTATTGCCATGAGCATCAGCGATGAGTACAGTATCGTTGGCAAATACCAAAACATGTTTTTATTGACTTGGGCGATTTTTACCTCTCTAGCGGCGACAAATTCTACTGTGAATATTTTTGTGTATTACAGGATGAGTTCAAAGTTCAAGGAAATTCTGGACGAAATGTTCAGTTTAGCGGGCGGGAAGAGTAAGTAACAGTGATTACGTCATGCAACAGGTTTCCTAGAATTATTTTTTCACCCCGCTGATCTGCTGACCCGTGCTAACACACATTACACACCCTAGCTCACCCATTTGTTTTTCAGGATTTTAAAAATTTGTTAAGTCTTTTTAAAATGTGTTTTTTAAACGCTTGTATTCACAAGAGGTGGGTCCCTTTACCTTGCCTAGGATCTAGAGGTAGACTCTCCGTCCAGACTCTAGGGTGTAATGTGCTACTGTTTTCTCTTCTGAAGATTAGTTTTAGTTTCAGTAAGAGTTTTACGGCATTTGCAACACAATAATATAAGTTCCGAAGATTAAAGGTGTTACAAGAGAGTAACATTACTAACAAATAATAATATAAAAAAGAAGAAGGAGAGATCAGGACGATGATGTTTGATAGGAAAGAAGGGAAAGAGCAAACCATACAAGAGCACCCGCCAACCACCCACTCTTCTGAAGATTAGTGAAATTGCTTCTCCATCAGCTTTCCTGAACGACCAACAGGACATTGTACAGTGAAAGTCAAACCTCGTCCTCCTGCCCCCGTCGCCAGCTCCTTCTGTGTGTTTTGTTTTAGTAGAGGTTTTACGGCGCTCGTAACTGCCTAAGTTGCCAGCTCCGCTAACCGCCAGGTTTTGCCAAAGTAGCCTACAAAAAGGAGCACCTATACTATAAACAAAGTACTAACACTCTCACAACGCAATGTGCCAACTGTCTCTGTTGTACGGTCTTTATTTAACTAACGTAATTTGGTTGCTTTTGGGGGGGTGGGGGGCTGCACCCCCAAAGTCAAAATTCGGCTCAAAATTATGGAATTTGAGTTGTTGTAGGCATTTTTAGCTTCCTCAGCCTCTCCAACAACTATTTCATCACATAAGAACCCACAAAAAACCGTATTTTTCCCCATACCGGGCATGTTTCTCACCTGCATTTCCTCATAATGTCAGTATTTTATTTTTCTTTATCGGCCGTTTTCTGAAAACGCAACTTTTCTCTATACTTTTTTGAATAACTCCACCATTTTTCATCCAATCTTCATGAAATTTTCACAGAATGAAGAGAAGGTATAATACTAAATATTTGATGGTTGAATTTTTGACATATTATGGAATAGATTTTTGTTGTGGTGTCTGGAGTGTGGATTTTTACGGATTTTTTGAAAACTTGAATGCTACCTCAGGAAAAAATTCATTAAAAATTTTCTAATTCGTTTAGGAAAAAAACAACAAACCAATTTTTAGATCTAATGTTTGTGAACACGCATGCAAAAAAAAATAAATTCCATGAGCGATAAGTGCGGTATTTATTACGTAAGACATGTAAACAAAATCCAATATGGCCGCCTTATCCATGGAAACGAAACTTTTTCTCAAATTTGATTGCGGATTTAAAGACTCCTTACTATGCTTGTTATATGTGTAAAATTTGGTAAAATTCGGTCCAGTAATAAGCGAGATAGCCTTCAGGTGTAGCCCCCCCCCCCCACCACGGGCTTTCCCGAAAAAAAGCTGTTTTGAGAAAATCGAAGGTATAGTTTTTGCCCCTTTTTCAGTTACTTTAAAAGACAAGGAGGGTCTTCTCTAACTACAACCAAAGATAGTAAATAACAAGATGGGCCACTCAGCCAAAAAAGTGTCCGCATGGAAGTTCGCTCTTTGCTTCAGATGGCGCTGCAGTCTGTTTTGAAGCTCTCTAACATTTTTCCAGAAGAAGAATAGGAATAGCACCTCCTTGCGTGCACAGATCGACTGCTGTTCATCAGCAGTTCGGGTTCTTTCAGTGTGGAGTTTTACGTTTTTTAAAATTTTAATGACCTCTCGCCTTTCATTCTAAAGTCAAATTAAACGAAGAAAACAATCACCCTTTCTTCCGGAAGAGGTTTTTTGTCAGCATAACCATTTAAAAAAAGGGTTCTTCTTAAATTCATTAAAAAACTTGCTAGTTTCACTTTGATTTTTTAAACTCAAGTAGGATAACTCTGTTCGCAAAAGGTCGCTTTTGCGAAGAGGGCGCCACCGAATTTTGAGGACACTTTTTTAATTGGCTCAAAGAGAGAAGTGGCCCCTCTTGATATGTAGACTCTTTGCTATAACTATAACTAAATAAATAAACGCACCAATGAAACCAAACTTGGGGGCTCTCGTGGCTTAGAGGTTAAGGTGTTGGCCTCTCATTCAAAGGTCCCGGATTCGAATCCGGGTAACGACCGAAACATTTTCTTCTCTAAAATTGTCTCCGTTCACCTTCTTTCCTGCTTTCTAGCAATGTTCTGTTGTCTGCTTTCATTTTCACTTCCTGCCCCCAACCCCTCACCTCCTTTGCCCCCTCCTCTGAGCTCCTGACTCTTTCTGCAGCCTTTCTACTGCTACTCCTTGGCTCCTCCTCACTGCTGTCATTCTGCCACACCCCTGATCTTCCGGTAGGAAAGATCTACACCTAGCCTTCTTGGACAAGGGCCAAAAATCTCGGAGGGCCCGTGTGCAAGTTGCGCACGTTAAAGATCCCTTGGTGGTCTGAAATCGATAAGAGTAAGCTTCAGCTGCCACCCGGGCAAAATTCAAAATTTCCGACCAACTGAAAATGTTAGGTGTGTCCCGCGCGCTCATATGACCTTATGCAGCAGCGAGCGCCGTAAAACACTTTACAAAAACAACAAACAAACCAAACTTCTCCTATAGGAAGGGCACAGCCCACTTTTGGTTTAGGTCAAGATTTCTGGAAACCCCCAAAACCTGGGTTAGCCCGCTTGTCCTTTATAACGACCATTTCGTTCCCGACATACCGCCAGAAAACTGACCGCCAGAGGTACACACTGCACATGGCGCACAGCACCAACTGGCTACTACTACTACTACTTGATAATATTGGGAACACTTCTGGGCTGGAAAAACTACAATAAAGTAAAATGTGAAATAGTCCTGAGTCTTGGAAGATAGAAATCCTAATTTCTCTAAAAGTTAAAAAAATGTGACTTAGCTGGTTTTTCACTTGATCCCGTCATACTTTTAGTGAACACATTTCCAACCTCGCTGTGAGACTGTTTTTCTCATGTACATTTTTACGAATATATACATTTATATTATAATAGTATAATACTATATTTTACGTACACGCAGGTCGATTGATTTTTAAAATGTGAGGTCTTTTTCGTTGTTGTAATGCGCATTGGGCATTTTTTAGAAAATGGAAATGCGCAGTATAAATATGCTACATGTATTTACTATTATTATTATTATTACTCCCAAGAGAAAGAAAGAAAAAAAAAGAGAAAGAGCGAGAGAGAGAGCGAGAGAGAGCGAGAGAGAGCGAGAGAGAGAGAGAGAGAGAGAGAGAGAGAGAGAGAGAGAGAGAGAGAGAGAAAGAGAGGTGGCTCTAATACATGTTTTTTTAAGTAGAGGTTTTACGGCGCTCGCAACTGCATGAGGTCATATGAGCGCCAAGGGGTGGATGTCAACAGAGAAGTCTTTACAGGGAATCGGACTTAGATTCTACTCTGCTCACCTCTCTAGCTTCAACAGCACAAAGTCAACTTCGGCTATCATCTTAATACATGTGCATGTACATGTTTATCACCAAGAAAAGACACTTTTCAAACACAGATCGCACAACAGAATCATGTGCCTTGACGTTGAGCAGTCGCGCTATACAATAGAAGCACCCCGTAGGACCGCCTGCCCCGCTGTTCCGCCGACTTTATGCCCGCCCCAAGGGTGGTGGTTTATCGAGGTTTGACTGTATGCTGGGCTTAAGGTACAGTTACATTTTTGTATTATGGCAAAAATAAACTTGAGTCCTCCAATTTTGAGCTTACAAACAGGAATTTCAATGTAAAGTCAGTGTCCAGTATGATACGACCGAACAATACTAGTACTAACAGTACTAATGAAGAGTCATGATTTAAGTCTAAGAATACTGTAGGACATTTCGTTTCAGCACAAGAGAACCTCCAAATTTAATGTACTTTAGTTTTACTAAGGTTTTACGACACTCGCAACTGCATAAGGTCATATGAGCGCCAAGGGGTGGATGTCAACAAAGAAGTCCAAACGGGGAATCAGGCTTACTCTGCTCACCTCTCTAGCCTCAACAGTACAAAGTCTGCTTCGACATCAAGGCACCCTGGAAATAGCAGTTCACAAGAGAGTGACCAACATACAAAAGAACTAGAGAAAAAAATGACAATAGTAAGTAAGGATGAGGAAAGAAAAAGCAGCAGTCCCCCCATGATCTATATGTTGTTCCGGCACAGTATGAACATGGCATTGACAAATTCCTCCATTTAGAACTTAACAAACAGGAATTTCAACGAAAAGTCAGGACCCAATATGATGCAACCGAACTATACTAATTACTAGTACTAATAATAATTAACAAGTGATGAGTCATGGATTTACGTCTAAGTCTGTTACTGTAGGAGTAGGACATTTAATTTCAACACAGGAGGACCTGTGGGCGGTTGGCGGGTGCTCTGGTGTGGTTTGCTCCTCCTTTCATTCCTATCAAACATCTATCGTCCTGATCACTCCTCCTTCTTTTTGTGTTTGTTACTCTCTTGTAACACCTCTAATCTTCGGCACTTATATGACCTTATTGTGTTGCAAGTGCCGTAAAACACTTACTAAAACTAAACAGGAGGACCTCCAAATTCAACATCTATCTCCAATGGGACCAGACTTAGTGAAAGAGAAGTCATACAATTAACTCTATCCGTACGTTGTGGTTTACTATCGTAACCATACGACGTGGGGAACTCTGTGCCACCACTTTCCAAAGTGGAAATTTACTCGTTAATCCGATCCCTTCGCTTTGCATAGCAGTCTGTCAAAATGACTTTTTAAAAAATAGAAATACTGAAAGTTTCAAAGAGATCTTCTCACTAGAAGTATTCTGAGTAGTGAAGAATACAACCCTGGTGGCACAAAACGATCACAGGGCGTACAGATGGAGTTAAAAAAACCTCCCCAAACAACTTAAGGTAATGAAACCTTAATGGTAGGGATTCAAACCAGATTTATCCGCACCATAGTTTACGTAAAGATACCAAGTGATCTAACAGTGCCTTTTTTGTTCGTGAACTTAAGTTTTAGTAGGCGTTTTACGGCACTTTCAAGACAATAAGGTCATATGAGTATGAGTGCCGAAGATTAGGGGTGTTACAAGAGAGTAACAAACAAAAAAGGAGGAGAGAAAAGGACGATAGGTGTTTAATAGGAGAAAAAAGAGCAAACTAGAACAGAGCATCCTCAAACCACCCACAATCCAGATTAATCCGAATCATAGTTTAAAATGATACCAAGT